TTTCTGCAACAGCTGCTTCCGTTAATTCCAGTAATAATAAACAAAGAAAGACATTTTCTTGTTTATATTTATATCTCTTTAAATAATCATTTAAAGTAGGATTAAAAAGATTAATTATTGTATTAATGATGCGAACGTCTTTATACGTTTCATTGATGGAACAGCCACTGATCAAGAAATCTGTACAGGCGACATGCCTACTGTAGTTCATGCAGTGATTAACGCAATGGGTTTTTTTAAGAAATAAAGGAGAAAATATTCAGTTGATGTAAATATCTATTGCACAATGCAGAAAATAAACTACATTCTAAAATTAATTCGGTAAGGGATGTTAAAGATGAGTTATTTAGAATGGGACTTGGAAATTTTTGGTTTAATCAAGATCTTATTAATGCAACAAAGTTTATATCTTGAATACGGAAAGATTGTTGAATATCTACCTTCAAGATTGTAATGCTTTTTTTTTTTGAAAATTCAACAAAGTGTTTTTTTGTACAAGTACATTGTGTGTGACAATTTTTCCAAAATCCATGCAAATTTGACAAAACCTATTTATTCTAAGTTAAAGAAAAATATTACAAGAATAAGACTTTCTTCCTATAACTTAAGTATAAAAACAGGAAGAAATAGAAAATTGAAAGAAGCAATAGAATATGTCAATTTTGTAGTGATCACTGTATAGAAGATGAATATCATTTTTTGCTTGAATGTCCTGTTTGAAAAAAATATATCAAACCATAGTATTTCAGATCTCCAAATGTGTACAAGCTTACTTAGTTACTCAGCTCTCATGATATTAGGGTTTTAATTGGTTTAGGAAAATTTATTCTCCATGCAAAGGAATTAAGAAATAATGAAGAATTTAATTTATATATGTGTATTATATACTATAGTTATTTTTCATGTAATAATGGATAATTTGAAATAATTATAGTGTGTATTTGTTGTTTTGTTTTTTTTTTTTTGGAAGTCAAGCAGATGGACACTAGGGGTTCCACTCTCGCAGACTCTCGCAACTCGTTTTTTATATCTGTTTTTGTTTATATGCTAATGAGCCGTATGACTTCAAGTTATTCAATAAAGAATTATATAATTTGTGTTCAGGTATCCATAGTACAAGCTTCATCATTTTTCATTAAATGACTTGGTAAGGACATGCATATTAATAATTACATGAAGAATCGTGATAATTGTCACTGGACCAAGTTTACGTTTCTTTAATGAAAGCAAGTAAATGTCTCTCCTTTTCAATTAACTTAATAGCCAGCTATTACATCATCAAGAAAGTCCTTAACGTGTCCCAAATAATAATAATATTACTCTTCAGTCTCTTTATAATAATATACTCATTGGTAGGCACATATCCTTAAAGTAGAAAAAACGAAGATTTCTTCTTTTATCTTTTTAAGTGGACACATTTTCATAAATGTTACCAAAGAATATTGCTTAAACTGCCTAGGTCCTGTAATGCGCAGTATAAGCAATTCTCTTCTCAGTTAGATGGAAAACAAGACACTTTAAATGGGAGCTCTGCAAATATCATACATTATCGTCTCTATTTACAAGGAACACTTATCTTTGCATAAAACTTCCTTTTTATTTGGATTTTACAGACCTTGAGTTTCTTAGCATGACTCAGAGGAACTGTTTATGATGTTGTTTTTTTTTTCAGTTTTTAAAATTACTGTAGCTTTTTGTAGCAAAGACCTTAAAAATGTTGTAAAATTGGAAGATCCCCTATACTTTTCAATATCCATAAAATTGAAACAAAAACACATTTCTTTCTCAAACAAACCTTATCAATATGTTACAAGCAAAACAAAGAAAACAGGACCATTCTACATATTTTACCGGATTGCCATTATAAACAAGAACAAGGTGATTTCTCTATGAGCCACTGGATTTGTAAAGCTGACTTCGATAGGTTAAGTGCATTTTTGAACTCGGCATCGGTATTAGTTTATATCAATAATATTTAGTCTAATCAATTATCTTTAAAAAGTTAAAGATACAGGGAGTCCCGATCTTTCCTTTGGAATTCAATTTCTATGATGAAATCTCTCGAAGATTATGCCAGACAGTCTTAATTAGGACAAAGAAGATCTGAATACTTTGTTAGAGTGGAATAAGTTTTTAGAAATCTATAGTATTTTATTTAAAAGAAGGATATGGAGATAACGAACAAGATTTTCAAAGTCCATAAAAGGAGCAGACGGACCCCCGAAACATGAGGTGGGATCAGGTGCCATGGAGGAGTGAGCATCCCCTGATGACCGGTCACACCCACCATGTGCTCCTTGTCATGAACGGGATAAAACGGAAAAAAATCCGTCTTCAATTCAGTGTATAAATAATGAACTAACAATTAGAATGAAAACGTCAGTCAGCATTTGAAGCAATGATAAATTGTCTTTGCTGACAAGGAATCGATGCAGTCGAAATCTCATGACCTTTAAATGTCAAACAGAGAATCACCTAGAAATGCATTACCAAGTATATGAACAACATCTAAGCAAAGGTAGACTTTTTGATCTTCCAAAGCTTTCATTCTTCTAGAAACAGTTCAGTTTAATAAATTATACAGTTTTTTTTTTTATAATTCTTAATTTGTTTGCGAGAAGTGGAGGGATTTCCCTGTATACACAATTAGCAAAAAATATATATTTATTGACTGGGTTCGAGGACAACATGCCTAACGGCCTCAGGCAGACAGTTTGTTTCGAAGGTCCGACAAAACGCATTTTGCCAGAAAACTCAGTCAATATATGTTTTGTAATACATTTCGTTTTATTTACTTTTTTGATACAGTGATACATGTATTTTGTACTGTCTCCCGTTATCTTACATCAGGTCCATCACTGTTGAACACCAAAGAATGAAAATGAGATGAAGCTCCTCCCATTCTGTGAAGGATGAGATAACGAACAGTATTCAGTCTCAAAGTCCATAAAAGAATACAAAATCAGAGCAGAGCAAACACGGACGCCCAAAACATCAGATGTGGGATCAGGTGCCATGGAGGAGTGAGCATCCCCTGCCGACCGGTCACACCCGCCGTCTGCTCCTTGTCATGATCACGAAATAATGGAAAAAATCCGTCGTCAATTCAATGTATAAATAATGGAATAACAATTGGTATGAAAAACGTCAGTCAGCATTTGACTCAATGATAAATTGTATTTGCTGACAAGGTCATTGTATCGACCATAGAACTTACGAAATAATGACTTTAAACGAGACTTCTGATATTCTTGTTTCATCAACTTGCTTGTCAATAATTTAGCTCGTTTTAGAAAGTGTTCATACGTAGAGCATGCTCTTGCGTATCGAATCAACTGAGATATATATATAAACCGTATACAGGTGATGAAGGTATATTGCTGCATAAATAAGGGGAGATGACGATAGAAAAGTTAAAGTTATCACGTTTATCATATAGCTTGGTTGTTAGATTACCATTAGTGTCTTTTTCAAGTAAGATATCCAAGTATGAAACAGAAATGTCAGACTCTGTGGTATCTTTTATCTCAAGCTCATCAGGATATATCGTATCGACGTAGGCGGTCAGGACGTAAGCGGTCCAAAATCTTTCCGACCGGTTCAACATCTCACTCAGCGGTCAAACATTTTTTTATGCCCACTCAGCAAAACATTTGAAATGTTAAACTTTTTTATATAGATTTGTATAGGATCAATTTTAAAATGATAGAACATTGATGTTTTCAAATATTCATATATTTTTGTTAATTTTGTTAAAAAGTGTATTCAGCACAAAGCTTGCATAGAGTGAAGGTTGGGGATAATGAACAATGATCAATCTTACAGGGAAGATATATGCCTAGAAGTAGGCATTATGCCGGTCATATCCGTCACTAGTTCTATGCATTGATCAAAGTTAATTTGAAAACATATTCTGAATCAAGGAATTTTTATAAGATGTCTAACGGTCATTTTTGTATGTAAAATAATCAAATATCAAAGATGAATGACAATTAGAAGCTTTAGAAGTATTATAGAATTATTATGTTCTTTTCAGCAAAAAAACAATTACTATTTCAATGCTTCATGACATGATTACATTGCTAACGCCCATTGTTGCACAACATATAAAGAGCCTCCTCACACATAAGAAGTTACTTTTCTGCAAAGATGGGTGTACTACATGTACTATGTTTTATTCTCTCTATGTTTGTGTATGGAACATTTGGTGATTCATCTTTACTTGAAAACGAAGCTTCTGATAAAAATGGTTTGCTCCCTAGTGCCGTATCCGGTAAAGCTTCCAAGGTCCTACGTGACATTCTGAATCAGGAAAGTCTGGTCCATTCTCTATGGTACAAAAAATACAAAATTTAGTGATGGATGCTACGGACAGCAAAAACGATATACAAGTTATAAAGGCGAAACTTAGTGAAATGGCAAAGGACTTACGGAACTTGGAGACGAAAAACCAAATATTGGAGAACACAATGAAGGAAATGAAGGTTCTAAATGAATCTCAATCAGTGTCTGCCAAAATCCCCCAAATAGAGGAACTCAAAAACCAAATGAATGAAATAAATGTAACATTACAGAAGTGCAGTGTGAACAGTCTTTTGGAACATTATAAATATACAGAGGACGCTTTAGGAAGATCTGTGAATGAAACTCTGCAAGCTGTTTGTAGAGATCTGAATGAATCAAACTGGATCTTGTCAAAAGGTATATTATAACATTCTGTTTATGTTTAGACTATTAAACCGGATTTGAAAGAGAACAGTTGGAACAAGCGTTCATAATGGAGCTTTCTACATAAAACTTATAAATTAATCATTCTTTTCGAAGACCGAATCAATCAAGATTGATTTTTAATCACGTATATATTTATTTTTTATTTTGATGTTTTGGGGCTGCCTTTTGCTCTTTATAAACCTAAATTTTGAAAGAACACTATAACGTATATAGTCTGATTTACAATATAGAGTATGTATGTGGGTAACATTTAATATTCTTTTACACAGTGCTCCCAAAGGATTGTTCGGACATTCTGAAGAAATACCCGAGTTTAGAAGGAAGGGACGGAGTATACAGAATATCCATGGCCTATGAAGTCAAGTCTGTTTACTGTGACATGAGAACTGATGGAGGAGGGTGGACAGTGAGTAAAACTTGTTATTAAATAAAGAGAATAATTTAGGAGTGTGTGTGAAAAATTCTCTTCTACAAAATATAGCATTTATAGCTATTTTCAAGATTTCTTATAAGTACATAAACACGTCTTAAACTTAAAATACTCACGTTTACCAAATTCTAAACGAACTTAGAATTCAATTAATGTGTTAAAGGTAATTCAAAGAAGACAAGACATTTCTACAGATTTTTACCGGACATGGTCAGAATATAAAGAAGGATTTGGGGAGCCCTCTACAAACTACTGGATCGGTAAGTTTAGTTATGTACCATTTATATATTGTAAGGTGTCTATCTAAATGTAGTGGCAGAATATGATAAACAAGGATTTGGAGATCCCTCTAAAAACTACTGGATCGGTATGTTTAATTTATGTAATATTTACATTATAAGGTACCTATCTATATGTAGTTTCAAAATAAAAACAAGGATTTAGAGATCCCTCCAACAATTACAGCATTGGTAAAATTTACTTCTCTGTTTTCTAACAAATAAACCTTATCATCTTCAATGAGAACTGCACGTAAATGAGTATATTATTTACTTGAATATAATTTTATTCATATTCAGAGTGAATTAAAATAGTGTCTTTAATAGAAAGCAAACACTGAAACAAACTAAATTCAATATGCAGCCATTTGTTATTCCTTGTTTATTCTTATAATAAACCCTAGAATAAAGCTATATTGCATGGATTTCAGATAAACTATCACTTTTCCTTGAAAACAGAGTACCACAGAAACCATTGTAAAGAAGCGTAAAAAAATATTTCTGCTTCTAAATAATTGGAAAGGTTGCATAAATTCTCAACTAATTTCGGATTCACTTGCAAACATTCGCTTCCTAAAATACCTGTAATCATGAAGTGTGGAGGAGATTCTAAATCAATCATTTCGAAGATCCTATTTTTGCATACCTCAACTGATGCTCATGGTACAACATTTTGTGATATCTAATCCCAACAGACATCATGAAATAAAGAAAAACATCGCACAGAAACAATTTAAAATAAAATACTTTATAACTCTTTTTCTATTTTTTTACTTGGCATTTATTTCAATATATTTTCTACCAAACTTGGCCAAAAAATCCAAAATATTTATCAAGAATAAATAGCAGATTATGTCAAAAAATTCTATAAACCATGACCAAATTGACAGAAAATTTAAAATCTAACAAAAGTCCATCCTTTCGAAAGCTTAGATGATTTCTCGAATAATAAATCATTCTACATAGAAAATTCTACTGAACAATAGCCTTTTCATGGGTCCATCAGATCTATTTTTTAAGATACAGAACAGTTAAAAATTTCAAAATGACATATCAACATACAATGCTATTAAGGTCAAGATCTAGTAAATGAAAGGTGCCTACAGATTTATCAAATTTGAGAAATAAATTCCTTTATTGATGCTTTACAACTTTAGCTTGGTCAAATAAGGTGTTTCGGGGCATAATTAGTAGGTAACAAGATGAAAAACTGTATTTTAAACTGTCAATTTCATTTAAATCATTTAAGAAAACCAGACAGGAATATGGGAGTTTTTTTTCATATTCGAAAAAGGAAATGTATCCAGATTGCCTACAGTTTCTCAGAAAATGGTAATTAGTATGTTCATTGCCTCTTCTTTTAATCAAGATCAAATTTAATATAGGCATCCGGTTTTCTTTTCATATGATTTCAAATTGAATGACATGAGAATACCATATTTCTACATAATTCTGCTTAAGCTGTAAAGTACGGGAAATAGAAAGTTGAAATTGATTCTGACGTCATAATGGATCTAGAACCAAAAAATAAGTCTCAAGTTATTTACTAGATCTTCTGTAATAAAACAGACACACTTAATAATCTAAGACTTATTAATTCAGTACAACAATCTGTTTTGTGCAGACCTGCGTTAACATGATTAACAAGTAACAACATAATGTTTTGGTTTGTTATGTTTGTATGCAATTGAATAAACATTGACTTTAATAGCATTGTATGTTGATATGTCATTTTGAAATGTTTGACCTGGTCAGTACAAATTGATTTTTTTAAGTAATAAGCTTTAACAGAAAATAGGTATTTTACGCCGTCTACAAAGTTTTACGTCAAAGGCAGCATTGCTGAAAGTTTATTACACTGTTATTTTTCCTCATTTTAACTATTGTTGTACTGTTTGGTGTTCAGCCAAAAACAAAAGTTTTATTAATAGAATTTTTGAATTACAGAAAAGGGCTGCAAGAATTATTATGAATGTGAAAGAAATTCAAACTCCTACTGTAGACATTTTTAGTGCTCTTAAATGGATGCCAATACATGACTATTTTATATATATAGAAAACTTGTCCTTGCTTTTAAAGTTTTGAAAAGTATGAAACCAGAATATTTGAATGCTTTTAGATATGTTAGCTAGGTTAGTTTTAGGGAAACAAAGGGTACTGTTAGTGACCTTTTATTCATTCCAGAAGCAAGAATAGAGTATTACAAACAATCTTTTAATGTCTCGACTGCAATTTTGTGGAACCAGTTGCCTGATTCTATTAGAAACTGTAATTGTTTAGCTTCTTTTAAATCAACCTTTTTGCGAAAATTTAATTAAAAGAGTTGAAAAAATGGTTTTAAATGAATTTTTATCTTATGGCACAATATTTAATACTAGCAGTTTATTTAATAGTATGTACAAATATGTCTTATATAATATGCTATGTATATATTGTTTGTTAATCTAGTTTCTACTATTTTTTTATCTGTCTGTAAATATGTTTTATACAGGACCACAATGTAAACTAGTCATATCTGTACTAATTGTGCTATTCTGTCTAAATAAAAGAATTTATTATTATCATTAAATTGAATCATCTGTCCTTAAACGTATCAATTGTAAAATAATACGTTTTTGTCACTTTAATGCTGCCTTGTAAGGTAAGAAAGGTGATAGATATTAAATCTATTACAAATGTTATAATATCCAAACAAATAAGTAAATTACATTGATTTCGTAATATGATAGATAATAAACGAAATACAGTACACTGTGCATGAATATAAACCCTAAACGATTTTTACTGCTTTTACTTGTACGGTATCTCACAAGTATTTTTAGTAAATTGCAATATTTATCTACATGAAAATATCAACAAAGTACGTTTAATATTACGTTTAAAAAAGTGTTATAAAGATTATTACTATCAGTTAATATTGCCTGTTTTACCCTCTTTTAAGGAAATGACGCAATCCATGAGTTGACAAAGAACAAGGACCAAGAACTCCGGGTTGAACTCCAAAGTTTTGATGGTGCTGAAGCATATGCTCAGTACTCCGCGTTTCATGTCGGTGATAAATACAATAAATACGTACTCACTGTATCGGGATATTCAGGAACCGCAGGTAAGTTTGATCATAATTATACCCGCACTTTCGAAAGAAAGTTCGGGTATATTGTTGTTACTCATGTCCGTCCGTCCGTCTGTCACACTTTTCTTCCCTGAACTCCTCCTACATTTTTCACAGTAGCTTAATCATCCTTTGGGAGATGGTTGGGGGTGTCATGTAGATGTGCAGTAAGGTTTCGGAATTTTGATTTTGCCCCGGGGGATCAAATGGGGGTCGAAAAATGACGTTTTTTATACAAAAAGCCCCTTCTTCCCTGAACTCCTCCTACATATTTCACAGTAGCTTAATCATCCTTTGGGAGATGGTTGGGGGTGTCATGTAGATGTGCAGTAATGTTTCGGAATTTTGATTTTGCCCCGGGGGATCAAATGGGGGTCGAAAAATGGCGTTTTTTATACAAAAAGCCCCTTCTTCCCTGAACTCCTTCTACATTTTACTCAGCAGCCTAATCATCTTTTGAGAGATGGTTGGTGGTGTCATGTAGATGTGCAGTAAGGTTTCGGAATTTTGATTTTGCCCCGGGGGATCAAATGGGGGTCGAAAAATGACGTTTTTTATACAAAAAGCCCCTTCTTCCCTGAACTCCTTCTACATTTTACTCAGCAGCCTAATCATCTTTTGAGAGATGGTTGGTGGTGTCATGTAGATGTGCAGTAAGGTTTCGGAATTTTGATTTTGCCCCGGGGGATCAAATGGGGGTCGAAAAATGACGTTTTTTATACAAAAAGCCCCTTCTTCCCTGAACTCCTTCTACATTTTACTCAGCAGCCTAATCATCTTTTGAGAGATGGTTGGGGGTGTCATGTAGATGTGCAGTAAGGTTTCGGAATTTTGATTTTGCCCCGGGGGATCAAAGGGGGGTCGAAAAATGACGTTTTTTTATACAAAAAGCCCCTTCTTCCCTGAACTCCTTCTACATTTTACTCAGCAGCCTAATCATCTGTTGAGAGATGGTTGGTGGTGTCATGTAGATGTGCAGTAAGGTTTCGGAATTTTGATTTTGCCCCGGGGGATCAAATGGGGGTCGAAAAATGACGTTTTTTATACAAAAAGCCCCTTCTTCCCTGAACTCCTTCTACATTTTACTCAGCAGCCTAATCATCTTTTAAGAGATGGTTGGTGGTGTCATGTAGATGTGCAGTAAGGTTTCGGAATTTTGATTTTGCCTCGGGGGATCAAATGGGGGTCGAAAAATGACGTTTTTTATACAAAAAGCCCCTTCTTCCCTGAACTCCTTCTATATTTTACTCCGCAGCCTTATCATCTTTTAAGAGATGGTTGGTGGTGTCATGTAGATGTGCAGTAAGGTTTCGGAATTTTCATTTTGCCTGGGGGGTGGGGGGGATGGGGGTCAAATCGAGGTAGAATTTTTATATATTTTTTTTTTTACATATATTTGACATGTTTAATCACCCTGCCTTCAAGAACTTCCCTAATATCTTATGCTGCAATAGCTTTAAACCATGATCATTTAGAAAATGATTGGTTTGTTTTTTGTATGTGTAAAATGGTCTCAAAATTTGAATTTTCATATGGATGGCAAAAAGGGGCTGGAAAAATATGGCACCTCCCTAACTCTGGTGGTCATGATTTGTACAAACTTGAATCTACACCTCTTGAGAATATTTCCATATTAATCATGCTCTTGGTGTTCCTGAAAAGAAGAACTTTAAAGATGTGTTTCCTTTTATTCCTAAATAAAACTTTGATCCCTAATTGTGGCCTGACCCTAGCCTGAGGTGATGATTTGAAAAAGTAGAAATATGTCTATAGGACATGAATGTCCCGCCAGATGTGTATTACTAATGGTACATTAAACAAGAGGCCCATGGGCCACATCACTCACCTGAGTACTGAAGCTAAGAAAAAGTAGAAATTGGTTTATTATTGAAAAGTTAAAATCCAAAAGTAATCCCATGATCAATCATGGATTTGCTTTTCTTCAAAGAATTTTCTCATATATTTCTATGTAAAACTTTGGTCGGCCATTTTGGCCCCGCCCTACCCCCTGGGGTCATGATTTGTACAAATTTGAATCTACACTACCTGAAGATGCTTCCATATAAATATGATGAATTATGAATTTGTCATTCTTGAGAAAAAGATTTTTAAAGAATTTTCCCATAAATTTCTATGTAAAACTTTGGTCGGCCTTTTTGGCCCCGCCCTACCCCCAGGGTCATGATTTGAACAAACTTGAATCTTCACTACCTGAGGATGCTTCCATATAAATTTGATGAATTATGGCTTTGTCATTCTTGAGAAGAAGATTTTTAAAGAATTTTCCTATATATTTCTATGTAAAACTTTGGTCAGCCATTTTGGCCCTGCCCTACCCCCGGGGGTCATGATTTGAACAAACTTAAATCTACACTATCTGAGGATGTTACTCCATAAGTTTCATCTTTCCTGGCACAGTGGTTCTTGAGAAGAAGATTTTTAAAGAATTTTCCAATATATTTCTATATAAAACTTTGGTCGGCCATTTTGGCCCTGCCCTACCCCCGGGGGTCATGATTTGAACACATTTGAATATTCACTACCTGAGGATGTTAACCCATAAGTTTTATCTTTCCTGGCACAGTGGTTCTTGAGAAGAAGATTTTTAAAACATGCCACCAAATTTTCATTAATTCCCAATTATCACCCCTTGAATGAGGGCATGGCCCTTCATTTGAAAAAACTTGAATCCCCTTCACCCAAGGATGCTTTGTGGCAAGTTTGGTTGAAATGGCCCAGTGGTTCTTGAGAAGAAGTCGAAAATGTGAAAAGTTTACAGACAGCTAGACAGACAGACGGATGCCGGACAAAATATGATCAGAAAAGCTCACTTGAGCCTTCGTTTCAGATGAGCTAAAAACTAAAAACTAAAATTTGTATTTGTGTATAAAGTTTGATGAAAATATCTGAAACAGTTTTTTTTCAGAATTGAAACTAAAATATAAATAAATTGGATATAGATAATAAATTCTCATCAAATTATGTATAAGTGCATGTTAAACATAAAAATGTCTTAAATTATTTCTTAAAACTAAGCAAAATACATATTAAAGAGGAGGGAGGTCAAGGTCACAGGAATGTGCAAGATGAAGTTTTTGATGCAGCTGAATAGCTCTCACTAATACATATTAGCTTATTATGTTTGATAAAAATATCTTGAATGATTTAATGAAACTGAGCTTAACACTTTGTTTTAAGAAAAGAGAAGTCAAAGGAAAGGTTGTGGTCAAAATGTTGTTCTAGCTGAAAAGCTTACATCAGTGTGAATTTACTATTATCATATGAATTTTGATAAAAATATAATTAATGGTTTATTTGAAACTTAGATAAACACATATTTTAAAAAGTGAGGTCAAGGTCAAAAGAAAATTCAAGGTCAAAATAAGTTAATGCAATAATAGTATTAGCATATGAAGTTTGATTAATATATCTTGAACTGTTTATTCAAAACTGATCTAGTCTAAGACAGTGAGGTCAAGATCACAGGAAATGTCAAGGTAAAAAAGAGTGAAGCATTGTAAAGCTTTAATTGCTTACATCAGTATGTATCATCATGTGAAGTTTCATTACACAACTTGAATCATTATGGTTTCTCTAAAATAAAGCTAAACACTAATTTTAAGAAAAGTTAAGTAAAGGTCAAAGGAAAGTAAAGGTAAACAAGATGTGTTTGTGAAACACTATGTGCCCGGCGGAAACAAAGTTCAAAAAATCTACTTTTAGCATATTGGTCACAGTCAAGGTCACAAGGTCACTGACCGTGGTGTCATATGAAAGAACTTAATCAGTGGAGTATGCATCCCAAATATGAAGTCCCTATCTACTATGGTTAAAAAGTTATGGCCAAAAGTGTAAAAAGCTATTTTTAGCATATAGGTCACAGTCAAGGTCATTGACCATGGTGTCATTTGAAAGAATTTAATCAGTGGAGTATGCATCCTAAATATGAAGTTCCTATCTCCTATGGTTAAAAAGTTATGGCAAAAAGTGTAAAAAGCTATTTTTAGCATCTAGGTCAAGGTCAAGGCCACAAGGTCATTGACCATGGTGTCATTTGAAAGAACTTAATCAGTGGAGTATGCATCCCAAATATGAGGTTCCTATCTCCTATGGTTCAAAAGTTATGGCAAAAAGTGTAAAAAGCTATTTTTAGCATATAGGTCACAGTCAAGGTCACAAGATCATTGACCTTGTTGTCAACTGAAAGGGCTTTATTAGAGGAGTATGCATACCAAATATCAAGTCCTATCTCCTATGGTTAAAAAGTTATGACAAACAGTGGAAAAAGCTATTTTTAGCATATAGGTCACAGTCAAGGTCACAAGGTCATTGACCTTGATGTCATTTGAAAGGACTTTAATAGTGGAGTATGAATACCAAAAATGAAGTCTCTATCTCTTATTGTTCAAAAGTTATGGCCAAGGTTAAAGTTGACAACAGACAAACAGACAAAAAGACAAACAGACAAACAGATAAATAGACAAACAGACAAACAGACAGGACAAAAACAATATATGCCCGGGATCTATTGATCCGGGCGCATAAAAAATATTGCCACAGTTGGATAGTTTACATCAGTATATGCATCAGCATATATGAACTTTGATAAAATATCTAGAAAGTAATTTCTTTGAGCTCGATGGAAAGACAGATGGAAGGGTGGAGGACGGACATGACAAAAACTAATACATGTATTCCTAATCATGGCGTAGCATAAAAAACTTGAATATACATTATATGAGGATGTTTCCATATCAAGATTATACATGCAAATTCAAAGAATTGTGGTCCTTTGCTTTCTGTGTTTAAGTGAATGGGATGCCATAATTTATGGCAGATTGTGTATCAAATATGCATCCCTATCATATGTCACTTTATGAAAATTAGGTCAAAGGGGGGAAATCATCGCATGCTCGAAATATTTTGTTGCAGGTAAAGTACATGTCAAATATGAAAGACCCATCTCTTTTCAATCAAAAGTTATATATAGATATATATAAATATATAATATAATATTTTTGAAAAGTAGGTTAAACTTCTAGGTCAAGAAAGTCAAAGTCATGATATATTTAGAAAAGTCTTTTCAGATGTAATATACATGTATAATTTAAATGCCATATCTTTTCTCTTTCAAAATGATTAATTTAAAATGTTATTTTTTGGAAAGTAGGTAAAATTTTGAGGTCAAGGTCTCACTTGGGTTAAAAAATCATAGTACATTTAGAAAGTTTTGTGGTAATGTACATGTGAAATATGAAAGCCCTATCTCATATTATTCAAAAGTTATGATCAAGGTTAAATTTATTGTGACAGATGCACATACTGTCAAAGATGGCCAGACTGACAGACAAATAAGATTTAATGTTCCCTCCCTTTCCCCCAAAACGGGGGACAATAATGCCCTTGCTGTTCTTGAGAAGAAGATTGATGATGGAAAAAATCCCCTGCATATTTCTTAACGCAAATCAATATTGTGTTTTTATGTCATTTAATTGTTTGTTTGTTGTTAAACATCCCTCTCAGGAATTTTTCACTCAAATGGAGACACCCCCACTTGAAAAATAATGAGGACACGTCGGATTTGAGGTCAACATTCATTTTAGGAGTTTTCAACCATTAAGACGTAAAGAGACAGGAACTCGATCCTTCCCCTCACCCCATCCCAGACCCCTGTTTATATTCATGACATGTATGCAAACTACTGCTTGTTTTACATTTTTAAAAAAATATGTTAATAGCCTATATACAAATACTTTAATGTGGTCCATCTCTTTGAATGATTTTCATTCCTAATTCTAGGAGGATAGGTTGATGAATGAAATGTCAAGCAATCTTATCATTGATGCACTTTTATTTCATTTAATGCAGTCATATTGTGAACATTTCCAGTTAGAATCATTAGAAGAGTGAGGATGACCTCCAGGGGGTTCAAAACCTTTATACCATTAAATTTACATAACATAATAACACAAAAAGCGCAAAATTATGTATGGTCAAATGGAAAAAGTTTCCCACTATCTAGGAGTCACATGATCATTTGCCATTACTGTTTACAGGGACTGGAAGTGTATCTTGAGACCCCCCCCCCCCGAATTTGCAGGACTATAATATAAAAAAGACTTTGGATGCCCTCCACCCTAGAAAACAGACACCACCATAACTTCTCCTTTTATTTGCTTCTCAGGAAATTCTGGTCTGGAAGTCCCCCCTCCCTCTCAGAAAAAAATTCTGTTTTTTGTAACTGAATGTAACGTCGATAACGGGCGATAACTCTTTAGAATGTGAAATTCGTCTCATTGCAGCATCGGATGACCTTTGATCCTTTAAACTTTAACCTAACCAGTTGCATTTCAGACTATTTTACCCAAATCTATACCAAAACGTGTACTTACCGACTGCCATAGCTCCAACTTCATGAAATATAATCCAATTAAACACAAAATAATTCCAACTGACATACATGCAATGATGTGTACACAACACTAGGCCTAGTACTGCACGTGCAGTGCTATCTAAAAATGATTATGGTAAAACTAGTACTTAAGTTAGGTACGTGACGCAAGCCCAATGTGATGCAGGTCTTCATATACATTTACAGTATAAGAACAAATTTAAAATTATTATTTACAAAAGATGTTTTATCTTAACTTTGCCATCTAGGCCTATTTCCAAAAACAGGAAAATAGGGTGTGTTTGCGTGTATGTGTGTTGATGGGAGAAGGGTGGGGGTTGACTAAATTGATTGGGTATACATGGTATATGGCAGCTTTCAAGGTGTTTCTGCCTAATCAAGTATAAAAAAGTTTGTACATTTTGGAAAAAATAATCAAAAACGCTTTAAACTAATTTGAATAATATTTGTTGTTGATCTATATGAGAAAATAGATTTAAAAAGTTCCAATTATGGGCCAAAAATTTAACCCCCCCCCCCCTTGTTTCAAACCTAATTTACATCATTAATTGAATTCTGTTGTTTAATTTCAGACTGGTAATGAATTATGAATATGAAATACATGTACCTATAAGATCGAGGCCCATGGGTCACATGTTCACTTAAGAATACTATGCTCAATTTGATGAATACATGGAGGCCCTATTATGTAAATTATTAAATTATATTGACTTTTTCTTTGGTAAAGCCTAATTTTAGAGGAGTGTGCATTTAGAGGCAAACACCTTAGTGCGGGTATTACTGTCTCATGACAGCATCTAGTGTTCAGTTATCATCACACCGGATACAAATATAGTTTATAATTAAATTCTGCTTCCACTAAATGGAAAATTTTACATATATAGTATATAGTGTGTTCCTTATGTCACTATTCGACTGACATCAAAAAAGTATCATTTATGTCGCAGCTTAATTTTTCATATCATTAGGGCATCTTTGAAATGGATATTATCTAAATATTTTCACTTTGAAATGATAGAAAGTTATGATATAAAGAATAAATTACATAGAAATGCAAGTTATTTTAAGTCTTCCTAACCCTTTAAAGCCCTTTTCTATCTTAAAAAAACACCTATTCCATGTCTTTAATGCGTAATACGTACAAACCAGGGTTCTTTTGAAGATAATAGATTCATTGCTTGAATGTGCTGTAAAGCTTATACCCCAATGTGTACATGAATTTTTAACAATAATTTTTTTCAAAAATAAAGCAAATGTACCATTTAAACAGGAGATGTGATATCTCGTTTTCAGTCATATACGTTTTAGGTATCTTCACAGTACAAATTATATTTCAGAATGCTTTGATACAAACTTTGTCTTAAAATGTAGGATATCTCGCATAAATAATATATGAGGTATTTCTTTGTTATCATTACATTATTCATTTACAATGTTTCTTTTAAATCCTCGACAATAGTGATTACGGTGGAGGCTATACAATGCTTTGAGTAATGTTTTAATTGTTATTAATTTATGGATTATGATTTTATCTATACTCTGTTTTAGGTGACAGTTTGGCTTATCACAATGGAATGAAATTCACCACAAAAAATCAGGATAATGACAACAAAAACTCTAGTAACTGTGCAACAGAATACCACGGGGCCTGGTGGTACAAGGGATGTCACTACTCAAATATCAATGGGCAGTACGTCAAGTCTGCTGTGTCTAATGCTAAACACCCGACATGGTTTCACTGGAAAAGTAAACATGAAGCGTTAAAACGGACTGTGATGATGATTAGACACAAAAATTGAATCATTTTAATTACTTAATCTTTCTTCTTTAATATTAGGAGGTCGTGTTTTATGCCCTATTCACCTAAATAATAGTTTATAGTTTTGTGTATGGTATCACTAGTAACAAAAATATAATTCATTATAACAGACTCTGATGATGATCAGACACAGAAACTAACGCGTCCGAAAAGTCTGCTTTGTCTGGTGTTAAATACCCGGTATAATTGAACTGAAAAAAAGAAAGAAACAAAAGACAACGATGACGATCAGACACAAAAATTAATAGCTTTAAAAAATCCATATTCAGTCCTGGCAAGAATAATGATTATCGATTAATTAGTTTACTCATGTGAAATAGATAGTATTAAAACGTTATGCAATATGCTTATATCTGCTCTATTACAATTCATACATTTATTAAGTACATTTTGCTGTTTTGATGGCAACCATGTGGCATGATATCCCTGCCAAAATGTTCAAAAAGCTTCAATGATCAGATATGAAAACTAGAGATAAATTATTATCAGCCCTAATATAATAAAAGTAATGACTCATTACATTTTTTTTTATATTTTACTTTTGTCAAATAAATAGCAAATTGATTTTGTTTCATTATTTCATTGCAGTTTTATTATATAAATCTTGTAAATAGACAATTACGTTATGCAATATAGAATTTTTTCTTTGTATAAATACATAAATGTTCTCCATTATAAATGCTTCAATTAAAGGTGCTTCAAGAAGAAAACTCAAAGCAGGGAGATTGTATGGAAGTTAAATTTAAGCATCACACATGTATATCAATATGGAATAAAGTTAAATATAATTGATAAATTTCATCACCTAATATAAATTATATGGTGAAAACAAACAATATTGAAGCTCGTAAGTCCATGAAACAAAACAAAATAAGAGTTGAGCTAACAAGGACTCCGAAATATCAGAGGTGTGATTAGGTGCCATGGGGAGTGAGCATCTCTTGCCGACCGGTCATACCCGCCGTGTGCTCCTTGTCATGAATTGGAAACAATGAAAAAATCTACCGTCAATATATTGTGTAAATAATAATATAACAATTAGTGTGAAAAACGTCAGTCAGCATTTGACTCAATGATAACTTTTATTTACTGAAAAAAGTCATTGAATTGACAAAAGAACTTACAAAATGATGACTTTAAACGAGTCTGCTATTCTTGTTTCAACAACTTGTTTGTCAATAATATACCTCTTTTGAAATTGTTCATACGTAGAGCATGTTTTTGAGCATTGAATTAAATGAGGGATATAAAACCTGTATGCAGGTGATGAATAATAATAATAATAATAATAATAATAATAATAATAATAATAATATATGAATTTATAAAGCGCTAAATATTAATAATTTAACTCTAAAGCGCTGTACAATAAAACGCAAGTAAACATGATTTAAAAGCTATGAAAACTTATATAAAATATTAACCCATACTCCTATATGTGTTCGGAGTTATAACATTAAAATACTACAAATTACATACAAAATACAATTACACCATCAATAAAACTCAATAAAAGAACATCATTTGTGATTTATGATTTGCTGCTAAAAATTGAGCACCTAAAATTTAAAAAGCTATCCTATAAAAATGCGTCTTTAATTGTCTTTTGAAAATATCCAGGGACTGGGCCTGCTTTATATCATTAGGAAGGTCGTTCCACAAAAATGCCGCTGCCCAACCAAGTCGACGTTCACCATATGTCTTCGTCCTGATCTTAGGAACAACTAACCGTGATGTTGACTCAGATCGCAGTGATCTGGTAGGCTTGTATTCCATTATAAGATCTTTGATATACGATGGAGCTAACCCGTGTAAGGATTGGTAGACATATGTCAAGATTTTATATTGTGGACGGAAAGAAACAGGTAGCCAATGAAGATCAGCTAGGATAGGTGTAATATGCTCCCGTTTCGATGATCTTGTAACTAAACGAGCTGCCGTGTTCTGGACTTTTTGAATCCGGTCTAGTAAGGCCTTTGACACTCCATATAGAAGGCAGTTCCCATAGTCCAGCCTGGCAGTGATAACTGCATTCACCATGGTCTTGCAGGCTTCTTTTGTAAGAAAGCGCAGTATTCGTCCAATATTGCTTATTTGAAAATAGCATGACTTGACGACCGAGGATACCTGTTTTTCCATAGTAAGGTGTTGATCGAAAAATGCACCTAGATTTTTTACACATGGCACGCTTTCGATGATATTATCACCAACTTTTAGTTGTAATGTTGGCAGATACTTCTGGTGTTGCTTTGTGGAGAAGATTATTAGCTCGGTCTTTTCTTGGTTTAGTTTGAGTAGGTTTGATGTCATCCATGAACCAATTTCACTAAGACACGCTTCAAGTCGAGAGAAGTAATTGTTCCAATTTTCCAGTGGTCTTATGATCATGTAGATTTGTGTATCATCTGCATAGCAGTGATATATCATTCCATGGCGGTGGCATATGATTCCAATGGGTTTGGAGAAGAGGCAATACAATTTCGGTCCGAGTACAGATCCTTGGGGGACACCAAAAGGCAGTTGTCTAGACTCTGATCGGACGGATCCAATTGTGACACATTGTTTTCTGTTCTTGAGGTAAGACTTGATCCACTCAAGAGCTCCATCACGGAAACCATAAGACACAGTTAGGCGTTTGAACAATATATTATGGTCAATAACATCAAAAGCAGCGGATAAATCCAGAAGGACAAGGACTGCTGAAGATTGTTGGTCTAGGGCTGTCACAATATCGTTGTGGACCTTGATGAGGGCCGTTTCCGTGGAGTGCCTGGGACGATATGCCGACTGAAGTGGATCGCGAAGAGAATTCGCATCCAAATGGGCATCAATCCTACGAGCCACAACTTTCTCCAATATTTTTGAGATAAAACTCAAGTTCGATACGGGCCGATAGTTTTTCAACACTTCCTTATCTAGTCCAGGTTTCTTAAGAAGTGGACGAACTATGGCCTCCTTCCAAGCAGACGGAAAAATTCCCTGATCGAGAGATACATTAACAATTTCTGTGACAAGCAGTATTACCGGATCCAGGCACTTTTTCAGTAGCTTTGTTGGAATTGGATCCAGTTCGCATGATTTACTGGGTGCCTTCATTATTAGTGATCGTACTTCATCTTCAGTGGTACGTTCAAAAGCAGCTAATAGAGGCCCAAGATAGTACACGTCTGTGCCTAAATAGCTGTCTTCTTTTTCTGTTTTTTGTTTAAGTGTCTCTCTGATGGATGTTACTTTGTCTATGAAAAATGTTGAAAATTTATTTGCAAGATCTTCATCTGATGGTGATGTTGGTAGGGGACTCTCCTGATTCTTACCCATCAATAAATTCGTCACCCTAAAGAAGTTTTTCAGATCATATCTAAATTCCTGAATTTTAGTAGAATAGAATTCTTCTTTTGCCTTGTGTAGTAATTGGCCTGTTTGCTTACATTCCGCTTTAAAAAGCTGGTGGTGTATTTCCAGTTTAGATCTACGCCAACGTCTCTCCGTTTTCCGCTTCTGTTGTTTCGCTGTCCTGAGTTCGTCTGTGTACCACTCTGTGTTAGCTCTTATAAGAATTGACTTGCTAACAAGAGGCGCATGAGTGTTTAGAATATGCGAGAGGCATTTGTTGTACCCTTGTACTAAATGGTCCACAGACGTGTTCTCATTTCGTGCGGATTCATCTTGTAGTTGATTTTTAATATCTCTACTCATGTCATGTATGTTGATATTCTTGAGCCTTCTAAACGTAATCTCTTTACGTTGATGTTGTGGCTTTCTGCAGTTGAACGTTGCATGTATAGCATAGTGGTCACAGCACAAGTTTCCTTTCACATCACTCAATGAAGGATTTTTGACTTGAGGACGTGAATGTAGTATTTCACTAGATGATCGTGTGATTAGCAAGTCTAGGATATGTCCGTGAACATGGGTCGGCTCGTCCACGTGTTGTATAAGGTTGCGATCATCAAGGGATTGTAACAACCTGCTTGCCTCAGGATCACTACGATTGTCGACGTGAAAATTGAAATCACCTGTGATTACTAGGTCTTGGGGAAATATAGTATTCTGATCAAGATAGGTGTCCCATTCTGAGAAGAACTGACTGGTAGTTAAACCATTCACAGTAGAAGGTGGCGGTCTGTAAATGATACATAGATTCATTCTCATGTCTTCTATTCGGACTGTAACTTCTAGATGTTCGAATTGAGTGAAAATATCCGAGCTTGTGTTCACAACGGTCACATCAATTCCATTCTTAAAGACAAGAGCTATTCCACCACCACGGCGTCCACTGTTGCGATCTTGACGAATGATTTCGTAGCATGATGGTTTCAGTTCATTCACAACAGCTTCATCAACAGAGGAACCTAACCAAGTTTCGAAGAATGAAGGTATATTGCTGCATACATGAAAGTAAGGGTATTTAATGATAGAAAAGTAAATGTCAGAGTTTAGGTGTCAGATTACCATTAACATCTTTTTCAAGTAAAACATCCAAAATATGAAATATATTTCTCAGACACTGTGATATTGTTTTTCTAAAGCTCACCAGGATACATCGTATCGACATAAGAATTGAAATAACTATTGTTAATTAACCAAACGTCGTCGATATTTCTAAATCGATATATCTCAAGCTGAAGGCCTAAGCAAGTGTTTACCTCTTTTCACCTAGAAGATTTTAGACATATTCTGCGCCATATGAATACAAAAATTAGCTCTGCTAATATAAGAGCGCAATTGCCACCCATGGGAATTCCAAAAGAGTGTTGGAAAACCTGATCTCGAACAACCACATATACTATAAAGATATGTACAATATGTATACTTACGATTTCAACCTTCAAATGTTACTTAAATAAGCGTAAAGACAGATAGGGAATTCTTACTCTCGTATAATGGTACAATGATGAGTTTCAAAGTTTAAGTATGTTATATGATAAACGATAAGTTAAAATATTATCAGCGATCAAAAGTCTATCAAATTATTTAACATGTTTATAACACTGTTTAGATACATCATGCAACAATATTATTGCAAGTTTTGGAAAGAAAAAAATCCTATTTGGTTTTGCTGCTTCAGTTTCTTTAAATTATTTAAGGAACAATATACCTTGTATCCACAGAACATTTGTTAAGCTTTGACGTAAGATCTGAGTACACCAAATATAGAGAATCATGGGAAATATAGAGAATCATGGGAAATATAGAGAATCATGGGAGGGAGAAAGGTTGTGGTCATTCATGCTAAATGATAGTCTAAATATAGCTGATTGCAGAAAGTGTAAGAGAAAAAAAAATAAACGAATGAAAATAAATGTCTTTATTACAAAATTAAAAGTTAATTTTTGATAAATTCTTCTAGATCTCATACGATAATACTAAATTTACTTCTAATGTGATTAAGGGCGTACATTGCAAAAAATACAGAAACTAGTACAAAAAATAAAAAACAAAAGTAATTCATATACTTTATTACTTTAACAACTTTTACTGATTAAAGACAAGTTCTAAATAGTGTCATTACATTATTATTATATTTTCCTATATAATTATACCAAAAATAATTATCTCATCCAAACTTGCTTTTTTCAACATTATTATTATTTTTCTGCAAAAATTTTAATATTATTAAATGAGTACACATTATTATTATTTTGTTCTACAATTATAATGATTCAAACTTTACAATAATAATCTTGCCAGTCAACATGGACACATTATTATAATTTTTAGCCTCATGATTATAATCTTGTCAGTAGATGTTTAAAAACATTATAATCATGAGGCGAAAATCATAATAATGTGTCC